GCGCAGTATGTTCTTGAATTCCGAATTATTGCAAGTTGGACAAGTTGAAACGTTGCTTTTGTCTGTCTCTTTCCTGGCGGCCAAGCTTTCTCGTGCTGTTCTAGCTACGAAAAAAAAAAAATCGCAGCATATCTACGGAGTGAATGATGATGAGAGGGGCGAAGCATCCGGCAGCCCGTCTGTGCTTCCATCCGTCCGTTCGTTCTTGCTTCCGTCCGACCGCGCGACCGTTCATGCGTCCGTCCGTGACTCCATCCGTGCGTTTGCTAGTCTGTGTGTCTGTCCGTCCGTGCGTCCATCTAGTGCACACTCCAAGTACTGCCCTCTCGCATCCCCTGTGGCACATAGCCGCTCTAGAGCGGGGATGTGCCACCGGTGGCCACCTACTACAACTACATACACAGGAGGATGTACAGATCCACGCCTTAAGGAGCGTCGCCCCTAAAGCTTTATCATTTTGTAGTAACGGTGATGTCAAGTACAATCGTAGTTTATGGAACGAAGCAACCTTAAGTAGACTGAATACACTCCACCCCCCAAATTGGAAAGTGGTACCCGTTAAAATGCAAAAAAAAAGTCAATTTACAGAACTCTAAAACTTGGCTATGTTAAACTTTTTTGTCACTCTCAGTATACTTCTGGTTTTATGTATGACCCTGCCAAAAAGTTCCCGGAGGCATAAAGGCGTTTGTTTTAATTTAAAGGGGCCTTTAGGTAAAGATGTAACTTAGCGCAGACTGGTAAATTAGACAGCGAAAACTCTAGTGTTTTTAATTATACTTGGGTAATTATTAGTAAAGAAAATCAGTGAGTTGTACCACCTATAATTTTCCCGCCATGTTATTCGATGGTGAAGTTACGGATTTTAAAGTGTCCTCATGAAATTCCATAAAACTTGGTATCTTACGTTTCTGAATGCCCCAAGAGACAATGTTTTTAACTTCTTACCGATTAGAAGGTGTGTAGCTCCCAGCAGTTGCCATGAAAATCTGTGAGGTCAGAGTTACTGCTTCGGAAATATTATAGGACTGCGCCACCACCCACTTTTTTTCTTTTTTTTCCGTTTTATTGATTTTCTAAACGTCTCACTGCATGAAGCGTGTAGTTTTTGATATCGGGAAAGAGCAGTTTATCAATGCGAGAAAAATCAGTTTTCTCTTTGTTGTCCCTTTATTATCAGCAAAAATAAGCCAATTTTTATGAAAGCAAAACCTTCTTGACGACGAAGAAATATAATTCACCACATGGCGCATGTGCGCCTGCCGTTCCTTTAACAAGAAGAAGAGAAAGGATACGTGCGAGTTGGTCGAATTTCACGCCCCGACCGCGTCCCACCATCGGGAAATAGGTGAACCTGCAAAAAACCGGTCGAAGCCTTGTTAAGGTATGACAACGTGTTCCGGCTGCCTGACTGTTCCAAATTACGCGTGCTTTCCTTAGCTCGTCAAGAGCTCCCACGATAGAGACAGGCGCACATTTGCGAAACTTCGACGTGAATGAGCACGAAGACACATTTTGCGGCTTTTACTTTAAAATTATAGTACTCTGTCATTATTTATGAAAGGAAACACGCGGTCATGTGACCTGCTCTCTACAACGGCTGCCTACAGTATCCTGCAGCACTTGTCCAGCGGCCATAACACGTTGTTGTGTTTGCCAATAGATGGCGCCAAGAGCTAACGTCTTTAATTTTTGCTGTCAGTTGATGAAGGTCCTGTGCAGCCACCGCAGAGCGCAGGCCACGTACTCACGTGTTTCCTTTCATAAAGGACTACAGTGTACATTCAGACATTTCAATTGTTCAGATTACGGTAGACAGCTTGGCATCGTAGTCCGCGCGCCACGGCTTTCTTCAATCCTAAATTTACGTTGATGTCATTCTTTGCCATTTTCAAGTATCGTATGTTGTAGTTTTTCTCTTTTTTTCTTTCGTATAGGCCCTATGTTTTCTGAGCTGTATTCCATCTCAGTACAAGAAACACTGCCTTAAAGGGACACTAACGTCAACTATTGAGTCAACGTTTATTGTTGAAATGGCGGCTCTGAAATCTCGTAGTATTACTTTTGTGCCAAGGAAGAACCTATTTTGAAATAAAATCACGTTTTAGTGGTCCGCGTCGAGTAGTGCACTTCAAATTACCCGCCTCAAGAAGCGGACTGACCGGACCGTCTCACGTCACTGTTGCCGTGCACAACGTTGCCCGACTTTACTGCGCTAGCAGCAGCAGACCCAAAGCAGTGGGAGCCACAGCAGCAACAATTGCCATTGATCAATTTCCCGCCATGGGCTTTGAGATTGCAGACGCTATTGTTTCAACTGCGCCCCGCTAGATGACAACATCTGTCCCGTGTAACCACGTGAAAATAACATTTCTGAACCACTCGCGCCATTCTCCATAGTACGTCCGGCGGTTCTTTTTTTTTTCGTGAACCAAACCGAAACGAACAAGCAGCATTTTGTTGAGTCTCTTAATGCACAGAGCGTTGTTTATTTAGTGCAGTTAGATTGATTACTAGTGATTAATTGTAGGCGGTCCGCCTGATGACATCGGGATCATTTTGAAAATGTCCTACTGCGGCGCTTGTGTTCTTGTACGTTTTCTTTAATTTCTCGGTGAGTAGGGCACTGTTGATAATATTGTCGTTTCAGGTGTTTTCATACATTGAGCTTTCACTCTGACGTAAAATGTTATTTACTTTAGTGTCCCTTTAAGTATAGCACTGCTACTGCATACTTCATTATAGATGTACTGTTTGATGATAGATTGTTGGCATTATACATATTGCAGTCCCTATCTCTGCACGCTTCAACGTATACATAAAGCAATAAAACAAGCAATGAAAGTGTACAAAGGCATGGTGGGCGCACCTTTTGTAGAGCGGCTAATTGTAGAGCGGCTAACTCATAAACTGATTTCGTAGAGCGGCTAACTCATTTCGTAGAGCGGCTAACTCATAAAAAGAAAAATAACTGTCAACTTTTGAAAAAAAAAACAATAAATGTTTATGCGTGATTACGCCACCTTTTCTTTAACATTGACACTCGTGATTCGATTATAGTATGGTGAGCAGGTGCATGTGAACTGTTTTGTGAAGTTTGTACCGTTTAGTATAAAGACTTGCCAAACAGTTTGCAGCAATCTCGAGCTTCAGTTCAAAGAGTAGAGCGCGATAGCGTGATCTGGATTCGCACGCACCGCTCTCTAAATCGCTAGCCTCGCATTGGTTCTCAGTGGACACCAGACCCGTGCAGCTAATGAAAAAGCGTGTGTGCGCACAACATTGACCGTTTAAAGTTCTCCTCGAATGCGTATATGGCAAGGACTCTACGAAATGCCTTGAACGCCAATATTCTTGCATTTGCGAATTAGCGAAGTAACAACCATGCGTCCTCAAAGCAGCACATGCACATGCGCCACTGCACACATCGTTTGTGCTGTTGCTTATAGTGACGTTGACTAGTTAAATCACGGTGCTCTGTAATTGAGGGCCTTTAAATCACCAACTAGCCACAAAAATTGACTGTTTTGACTCTAGATTCTATGGCAGTCTCATGCGTTAAAGGACTGAAGGTTATGCGTTAAGGGACGGACAACCGATTTCTCGTGAAAGTTTTTACGGTGCAATCAAGCTGACTTGTCGCGGCGTTTGTAGCTGCCGCAGTTGATCCCAAAAGACTGGTTGTTCTATAAAGCCGTATTGATCAGAATAGTCCCTAAACTGTACTCAGACGTCCTCCAGAAACGCTGTGAAGCGACAGAAATGCTGATAGCCCTCCTCGCATTGCGCTCAAGGTTCAGCTTCACGGTAGTGAAGGAGGCTGTCGTCAACCATGCTCATGTTGACATTTTCAGCTATTTCCTAACATAAAAAGCTGGTAGAAGACAGGAGTGTAGGCATATGGAGAGGTGCACCTCCGTGATTTGAGGGGGTACCTACGTCCTTGAAATGGTCTTTTTTTTTTTTGCTCTGTATGTCACGGCGAGAAAAAATTGCGCGGGGGGGGGGGGGGGCGCACAGTGCTTGTTGCGCCAGCCTCTGACTACGTAGCCACTGGTAGAAGTCTTCCCAAACCTTGCCGACTTATAAGAATTCTTTCCCGCCTCGCAATCCATGCGTCGCCGGCTTCAGTGATTCACTGCGTAAGCGCGTTGACGGAGCTAAACGTGGAGACAGCGAGGTGCTCTTCTTACTTCTCCAACTCGTCTCAGCTATAAATTTCTATGCTGCACCTCATGGGCACCCGATCACAGCCATTGTTTTGCTCAATATAGGATGCTTTGATGCGCACTTTGCAAGCATCGGGGCACAAGAGCTCAAAACAAGTGAAGGTATATCTGCACGTTTTAAATTAGAAAATAATATTTAAAAAATAATAGCATTTCAACGCTAGTGAAGGGAAAATAGCACAAACTAGTGAAAGGTCATGTGATCACTTGCAAGTACCTCTTCACTTTCTTACAACGAGAGGGCCCAAAAGAAAAAAAATTGAGTGACGAAAGAAAAATATAACTCTGCGTTTAACGAGAAAACCAGCATGAGTTTAGGCAATCGTTCCACTTGGGCGTTATCTCAATGTGTTATGAGTGGTTTGTCGGTCTCTTTATGAAAGCTTCTCCCTCCACGTGACATTTGTGTTTATTTAACAGTCTCAAGTACTCGTATGGCTTTGTGCTAGAGCACCTGCTTGCCGCGTTCAAGATAGCTTCAATTCGCAGTCGTACTAAAGATGCTTACTTTTTATTCATTAGCATCTATTTCAATTTTCACCAAACTACGCCGATTTCCCGCTCGAAACAAAAGACGCTGATGCCAGTTCCAGAGTTTTTAGAAGCGAGCTCTTTGTCAATATCGTGTTAACAAGCACGTTCGTGTGTGACTGTGTTATGTTCATCTGTCGTATCAAGTCGCATTAAAGGATCGTGTGTTCACGTAGAAGTAAAACTAACAAAACTGTACTATCCCAGCGCCATTTTAGGTTGTGCACTTCTGGCGACGCCATGGTGCCGAACCATCGGGAGGATCCGAGCGAATCTTCCAGGCGAACGATGTCTGATTCACCGCGGGCACACATTTCTAGCTCGGGCTCCAGTGTAGGCCTCACTCGCAAGCCCTCCAAGCGAAGGCACCACAAGAAATCTTCCAAATCGCGATCCAGCAAAGGACCGAAGAGGACCAAGTTCTCGTCACCCTACGCGCCTCAACGTCGCCTGCGACGGCATCCCTCTGCAATCTCCCAGTCACGATTCTGTCCGCACAGGCGAGAGCCATATTCAGGCCAGCTTCCGGCGGGGGGCTTGTCCGGCCTGCCGCGGAACCACCCTCTCCTGGTGCCGAGCATCTCATCGTTCTACCCTCCGGGTGCATCGCCTCTGGCACCCGGCACTCCAGTCAACATCCCGGGTCTGCCACCTCTCATCGCTGGCAACCCCGTGCCACTGCCGCCCGGATTGTTCCCGCCTTCGCCATTCATGGGCCTTTCATCCCCCGCAGCCTTGGTTGGTCCCATGATTGGAGGCGGCGCAGCGCAGCAACCTATCGTGCTTCCCTTCCCCATCCCGATGCCGATGCCCATGTCTACGTCGGGAGGCGCTCAACAGCCAATCGTGATTCCGGCTCCCCCTCCACCACCGCCTTCGTATCCGCCACCGATGCCTTACCCGGTCTCGGCGCCAGTCGCGCAAGGCGGTGGAGGCTCAGACAACATGGCTCTCATGATGATGATGAAGGCCATGCAACAGGAGCGCCAGGCTGCCACCCAGCAGCGGCAGCAAGACGAGGAACGGCGTCAGGAGGAGAAGCAGGATGCGGAGAGACGCGCGCGAAAGGAGAAGGAGGAAGAGAAGAAGAAAAAGAAGAAGGAGAAGGAAGAGGAGCGCAAACGCAAGAAAGCGGAGAGAGAGAAGACCCTGGAGGAGCGCAAAAAGGAAATCGAGAAGATGCAGGAGGACAACAAGCGCCAGATTGAGGAGGCCCAAATGAAGGCAGAAGAGGCGGCCGCCAAGAGAAAGGCCGAAAAAGAAGCAGCCCAGGCTAAAAAAGCTGCTGAAGAGGAAGAGGCCAAGAAGAAGAAAGAGGAGGAAGAGAAGGCGAAGAAAGAAGCAGAGGCTAAGGCTGCCGCTTCTGGTGCCGGAGACTCTATGAAAGATCCTACCAAGCACGTCATGAAGGACCCTACAAAGAATCCAGCCAATAACGATGCTGCCGCCAATGCGCCAGATTATGGACATGCCGGAGCAGCGGGCGAAGAGCATCCTCTTCTGGGTATTGAAGACCAACTACCGCCACTATTTCCCTACCAACAACTTCCTGCAGGCCCCATTCCTGCCTTGAATATGGGTCCAGACGTAAAGTATGCTGATTCAGCCTTCTTTTTAACCTTCCCTTTGTGCTTCCCTTTCTGTAAATTGGGTTATTTTTCGCTGTTTTCTCGTGAATGTACCTGTGAACACTGTCACGAGCAAACGCTTCGCAACCAACTGGTGCCACACCTTTTTTTTTTTCTTGTTGGCAGCAAGTGATTGAATTGGCATATGTACACACATGTTCTAATGATGCAATATTGGAAGCTTTCCATGCTGTAGAACACGGCATTGCGCCATTCGGGATTGCTCGAAATTCTTACGACTGACAGAGGAGGGGTATAATGACCGGAAAAGGCAATTCTGTCCACCATTTTTGTCATCTGCTATAGGCAAATAACGGACTGATACACCACTCGGTCCACTAGAACTGATGTAAAACGGTCTCTGGGCGTTTTGAGCTGAATGAAAACGCAAGTGCACAAGCCGGACAATTGTACTGGCCTGCTTTGTGCCTATCTTACTCCTAATCGCGTGCTGATAATTTACAAAAATATAATGCGAGACAATTTTCGTGAAACGTCTTAAGAATTTGCGATAATATTTATCCCCCAATGAAAGCATTACCACAAGCGAATTTCTAAGACATATGCACGCGTTTACCGGTTGGTGTCGCTCTCCATAGGCAGTGGGCGCGTTGCCGCATCAAAATGCAACGCGCTCACACGCTTTAATGCGTGCGTGTGGTCAAGCAAGTGGTCTTGACGTTTGTGTATATGACGCAATTGTTTTGGGTATTTGGCATCGCTTGTCGAGTGAAGAGCAAATAATTTCTAGCTAGCAGTGAAATTTAGCTTCGAATCCCTCGTTGTGTGCTGTGATGTTGTGTTTGGCAGCCTCGACTACGCAACGGCCGCACTTTCTGACTACGTCCAAAACAGCTTTGCTGGGACCCTACTAGGTAATTTTACGCTACGCTTTCAGTCGTACTTGAAGAAAATTTCTTATCGCTTTTTGTTTTTGTAATCGTCTCCAACGTTTACGGCGAAGGTGTTCGAATCGCGTGTTGGTCAGTACCGCAGAAATGGTACCTCAATAGCACAGCAAAACATGAACGCAAAAAGAAATTAGCCCGAAGACGATCACTCACTTTAGACAATCAAATTATTGTTTAATTTCAAAATAATTCACCGCTGTGGCACAGTGGTTACTGTTTCTGGGCGATTGATACGAAAGTCGCGAATTGGATTCCGGCCACGGTGGTAGCGTTTATTTATTCATTTATTTATTTATTTATTTATTTATTTATTTATTTATTTATTTATTTATTTGGTAATACTGTCAACCCTCATAGAGGGTCATGACAGAGAGGACATAAATAAAGAATGTACAATGTTCATAAGGTTTCTCAATACCTTGACAACTCACAATGAAAACTGGTATTCTCTTAATTAGCAATTCAACATTCAAATAACAATTCAAAAACAATTCAAAATTCACAGTCATTTTTCAAAATATTCGCTATGAACGTGAAGTTGCTTACATCACTTGGCACAGAAAAAAAATTAATTTAGCAATCACGTAAATGCGCTTCTACAGCATTTTCGAAGTCAATGACATCTTTTAAAACAGCAATTTCGTTCGGAAGTTTGTTCCTTATTTCTATGACATCTGGAAAAAAGAATACCGAAATGTGTCAGTATTTGTACCGTATAATTTTATGACCCAATCATGGTTAGTTCGAAGGATTTCTTTTGCCTGGAGAATGTAAATATTTGAGCTTATCTATCTTCAGTTGATAGTGCATTATTTGGAACAATACTTTCAGCCTATATTTATCTAGGTTGCATCTCCGTAATATCAGTGTGACTGATTCCTTCCTTCGGTACGTTGAACAAAAAAAAAAATAGCGCCGCTAGTCTCTGTATTCTTTCTAGGTTCTTCTTAAGAGTAACTTAACAGTAACCTTTATTTTTAGAGTAACTTCAGCATTTCGCTGGAGGCGAAATACTGAAGGCCCATGTGATGTGCGATGTCAGTGAGCGGTGCAACAAAGGCTCGGAATTTCCGGAGCCCTTCACTGTGGTGTGTCTCTTAATCATACAAGTATACTCAAAGAAATATATCGCCATATTAAATCCCGCATTAGTCGTGCTTATGTACCTCCCCCAAACTAATGAACGAAATAAAAAACACATGCTCATAACTATCGCTTTGCAAATATGTACATTACTGAGTCACGGTAATTTCATACTTGTACATCAAGCGAATGCTAGCAATCATGAGTGACATATCGTAAATGGCGACAATTTAATGATATAATATATATAGAAGTAATCAAGTTTTCTCGCCGGAATCTTTCCCTGCGAGAGTGTTTCATCATGTGTACATGCCGTAAATGTCGTCCATACGTGCGTTGTATAACTCCTGTTTCTTGACCTCGAGAATACCAACATGAAGTTATTTTCGCCCAGTCATGTGCGTTTGGAGCTGATGTCGCTTTCTCTCGTGTTTCAATTATTTTTTGGTGTGGGGGGGGAGGGGAGGCTGAGATGGGTTTGTAGAGTTACGGCTAATCCCGGAAAGAAAGCATTAGTTCTTGAAAGTTGTCTCTTGTCTTCAGCTTCGTTTGACCCGTCGTAGTAGTCGAATGGTTATGGTGCTAATCTGCTTACCCGAAGGTTGTGGGGATAAATACCGTCCACGGCGGCAGCATTTGGATAGAGGCGAATTGCTGGAAGCTCGTGTACTTTCCGGAGCCCACAACTAAGGCGTCTCTCGTAATTATATCAAGGTTTTGGGACATTTGACCTAAGCAATTAATGTAAATTCTCGTGCCAGCGCCCCTGCGTAAGGAAGCAAACCCTCCCTTTTTTCTGGGGATTTATAATATGCACCAATGACCGAGCAAGTGCAACCCCTTTTTAACACCTTTTTAAATGCAAAGCATTTCTTTGCGAACATCGGCGACTTTGAGCGTATCTATCTATCTAGCCGCCTACGACTTTTAGCTCTCCTAGCCGTTTCGATGATGGCATTACTACCAAACTTGATATGGCATAACATGACTGTAGGAAGAACATATCTGGTTAGTCATAACATGAAAATCACGACATGGATGTCATAAATGTCATAATTTACATTTTATGGTCCTGCCGCTCTTGTGGTGGTTTTGTTGCAAAACTGGTATGGTATGATATGATTGCATGCTGAACACAAGCGACCGAGCTTAACATGAAAATCATGACATCCGTATCATGTAACAGCATGACTAATGCCACGCTCATGATACGCTCACAGCTGTTTCGCTAGCACGACATATACCAAATTTGGTATTACGGTACGTGGATGGATGACGAAGGTATTTGACTGGTGCAAACATGATAATTATGAGATGCGTGTCATGTAACATGACTGCATTCCATGGTCATGATGCGCTGGCGGCCGTTTTGCTAGCTTCACTTATACCAATTTGGTATTACGGGACGTGAATGCATGAGAAAGGTATGATACTGGTGTAAACAGGATAAACATGAGATGTGTGTCATGTAACAACATGACTACATGCTACGCTCATGATGCGCTCGTGGCCGTTTCGCTAGCTTTACATGTACCAAACTCGGTATCACGCGACGCGAGCGGACGACATAGGTAAATGACACATCCAAACACGATAACCATGACAAGCGTGTCATGTAACAACAAGACTACATGCCACACTCATGATGCGCTCGTGGCCGTTTCCCTAGCTTCACATATGCCAAATTTTGTATTACGTAACCTCAATGAATGATGAAGGTATGGGACTGGTGCAAACATGATAATTATGAGATGCGTGTCACGTAAGAACATGACTACATACCACAGTCAAGGCGCCAATACATTTCGACGTGACGTGGTGCGTGTGCTCGCCAGCGTTCATTTCGTCGCGTCACTCCGGCGTTGCCACGCTAGACACCGGTCTTGCCATACACTTGCAGGCACGCGCCGCGCCGCGTTGCTTTGACGCATGCACGTTTCAGCGCGTCCAACGTCCCTCCGCCACGAAATGAGGGAGACGCAATGTTGTCTGGGTAACGCTTCGGCGCGAAATTCAGGATTTCGCATTTCGCGCTGGTTGCCATCGCGCCGCGCCGACGGACGCTGGTCGCGCCAGGCGCAGACTATACAGTGCTCACGTTTCGCTAACGTAGCGTCGCTGTGCCCAGCATGCGCGCCTGAACGCAACATTGGAGTATATTGGGCCCTTCATGATGCGCTCGCGGCCGTATTGCTAACTTCCACATGTACCAAATTAGTTGTTATGTGACGTCAGTGGATGACGAAAGTATATAACTGGTACAAACATGATAATGCTGACAAGCCTGTCACTTAAGAAAATGGCAACATACCACACTCACAGCATGCTCGCAGCCATTTCACTAGCTCCACATATACTAAATTTGATATCACGTGACGGGAATAGATGACGAAGGTAATCGACACATGCAAACATGATAGTCATGACACGTAAGTCATGTACGGCATCAGTTACCTCCACCTCGTAGCATTGCGCTAATTTCAGAGTGACATATCAACCTTCCTCATTCGTTCTTCGCATATCATTAACTCCAACTGTACCTGGGATCTTCCAATTTTTTTCTTGCATGTTATCTGCTACAAAGTCTTGCAAGACAGGTTAGATATGTGCACGATTTATCAGTATTTTTTTTTCAATATGTGGTTTCTCGGGGTTGCTTTTATAGTTTTCAAAAGTACTTGGAAGATATAAAAAACGTTGTTCCGCTCTTGTCATTACACACTAAATTTCAACCAATGATTCTCCGCAGCGTGGTAAATTCAGTAAGTTTACGCGTATTCAATAAATCATTTCATTAGAAGCACATTCGCGCATTCTTGTTAGAGACACTTTTACCGCCATCTTCTTGGAGACACTTCTACCGCCAGGCGGGGGCTAGCTTGTTCAGCGACCAAGCCAGCGCCAGCCTCCGAATCTTGTCCGATATATTTCCTCGTGAGGAAGGCGCTGGCCTGGAACTTTGCGG